ATGATGAGGGAATGAAACAAATCTTGCTCCCCACTACCTGTCAATATTAATACTGATGATTAGTGGGAGAGTTTGGCTCCATATAGATTGGACATCACCCACAATTGATCGCAACTGTTGCATTCCCATAGACACTCCAGTCGGCTTCTCTCGAAAAGAAGCACTAGACTGGAGTTCTCGCTCTCATTATAACTCGTCAATAGTGACATATCCTTGCCACGACCAGGACTAGAACTCCGGCCACGCTTTCATGAGGCAACCGTGTTGACCACTGCGCCATTGACCTCACATTAGGCACGACCGAATTATCATATGTGAACGCTCAACCACTTTCGCTTGTGAGTAATGATCAGGTTGCCCGATCGCCTCGAGAGGAGACAGTTACTGTCTGTTAACTCCAATCGTTAGTCCCTCGTTTAGGATTTCCATCCAAGTTGAAATCGCAGAAATCATTAACTTGTTCAGCGTGACCTGAGTTTTTGTCTCGGCAGTGGCAAAAGTAGGCAAGCGCTATGTGACTACGATGTATCACTGGTGCTAGCCTACGTTGGGAGCAAAAATCAAGTTTTCGGCTTTTTTTAAATAGGTAGGTTGGAGGAAAGCTTGCGAGAATGATGGATCTGTGATCAAGTGCGGATGACTCTAGGTAATAATAAGATGATCATGTGATACTGAAGTATGTTGGAACGCCCTTGACAAAAGTATTCCAACCAACGAAGAAAGCCAAAGCATTACGTGTGTCTAGGTTGCAAAAATAAAATACTACACGGATACGACTTGCTTTCTTTATCGATCCGCCATTAAAAATGCCTTACGCAAATTTGCATTTATAGCGGCAACTGGTTCCTTGAATATGAACCTTCCTAATCATCTCCTTGTTCACCATCATAACAAAGAGTGGCCAAACGTTGCAGTCAGATAAAACTTGAATTTTACAACAGTTAAGTTATTTGTCAGTTGATGCACATCTCCGTAAACAACGTCTTTTAAGACTGTACTATGCGGCACTCATTTTATATCAGGTTTGTTTATATCCTATTAACAATAAATCATACCAACCTTGTTAATGATTTGCTAGACTGGCAATCCCCATTTTATTGCCATAAGACTAATACAATTTTTATTCGGTGATTTATCTAACTGTCGGATATCAACAGTTGAAGGTTGTGTGTCTTCTCAAATGCTTCCTTGACGCCGAAGACGTTATCGTGCCAGTGTCATAATAAGGATAGTATATCCCCATTTTTCGAAGTTACGAACGTATGTCTATACGTTTCTGTGATCTCATGAATAGTATAGCCGAAGCACATCCTATTTAAGGTCTTTTAGGTGTTTTTTTGAAGTTAGTTTGAGACTTTCGTAATTGGTAACCAAAATGGCTTGTCATGAAAAGTCTTAGCAGAAGTAAAGATGAAAGCAGAATCAACTCGGTGTGATTTTTATCTTTGAATTGAACGTGGCATATTTCAAGGTCCCTTTTTGTTTGCACCCATAACTGTCATAAATAATGAAAGTTTCCTCCAAATTGATGTTTGATTACTCCGTATTTCTAATGTTGTTGATTGGATACTTAGTAAACAAGCGTAAAAGATCTCTTTTAATTATCCGGGAGATAGCTGTTTGCTTGTTATAGTGCTAGTTATTCCTGTATGCTTATTAGGCGTATCACTTACATTCGTTTAAATGTCACATTGAGTGATGAACTAATTTTATTCCGGTATACAGATCACAACAGCATTTAGTTCTTGCTTGAAGTGTGATGTGTTACACTTTGAAACAGCTTAACTTATGGCGGTATGATTTATAGTGGTCGCTAATCAAACACAAACAACAGCGTACGACCAGAAGTTCTTAGTGAATTTTGAAGTCTACTGCTTTAGATAGGAACAGCTGTGCCTGACCATCATTCGCACAACTTCAATGAACGTCTCCTAGGTAATGCTTTTAGAATAACAAACAGTTTGTGTGACACGTGACATTTTGAAAGTCGATCAAGTTAGAGGAAAATTTCGAAGCAGAACACTTGCTTATTAAAGGTCAGCTGGTATGAATAATCTGATCACTGATTTCCCTAGAGGAATTTCATGCAGCAACGCAGAAAGGTTTCCAGATGGACGTCTATCTTGAAGACATCAACTGTATCAGTTGCTGTTTTGGTGAGATTAGAGTTTAGTTTGCGAGGGTGTACAAACCATGCCAGAGATTATCAAGCAGTTACCTTTAAACTACGGTTGTTACATATTTGCGTCCGAAGGCGAAACATGGGTTGATCGCAGTCTATACACTTCAGTAGAAACTGAATGTGTTGAGTAACTTAAGGAGACAGTCGAAAGATTGTAAAATCTCTGACCTCTTCGATTTAAACTGTGCAGCTTAATCAAGTAATTGCTTAATGAAGAGACAATTATCGTGACAAAATGTAAAGTTTTTTAAGCTGAAAATGGTAAAAAGCGAAAGCGAATACTCGCTACTAATGAACACGACTTTAACAGTTGAATATTATGAACGCATTTCTAAGGAAAAAACGAAAAATGAACCCAATCGACTATATATTGCGTTTTGGTTAGGCTAGAGGAGTGCCCCTTAGAAGAGCCCTGGTGTTCTGACTTACGATTCAGTGTAAATGGCCGACAAAAGTTGTGTTAGACAAACAAACATAGTCCAATCGTTCTGGAATAAAATGATCTGCGACTGTACGGCGTCAAACAAATTTTGATGGAATAGCTGATTGCCACGCTGTTATATCGGCTACGTGTCTGCCATTAGAAGAAACCACCAGCTGTTTGCTCTTCTGTGTGAAATATGTACTGGAACAATAAGGTTTGTGACGTACTTTCACTGAACGCTTTCACGTTCAAAGTAAAACGTATTATCGAATTGCTGATACCTGCTTGTTCCGTTATTTTGTGATATCTTTGTAGTGTGGCTTGAGGATCACCTTCAGACGAACGTGATAGTCTGAAGCTCTGACAATAAATGAAATTGTCCTATTCCTCAATCTTGTATAAATCCATCCAGACATAGATTTGTGTCAGTCGAACAAAATATCAACAATCAGAAGCCGTGGTTAACCTTCATTTACTCTTACATTACTCATAAATTATCAATGAAGTGAACTGGTATATTTAGCCTGCTCTACTGAAATCACAGATGGATAGACTAAAACGTACACTCAGCAAATGCTGTTCCAATGGTGTAGGAAATAATAGTTGTGTGTACAACATTTACTTGAGCAAAACAGACTTTCTCAAGTAACACTTCGTACAATGAACCACGTTGGACGGAGCTAACGTTTTTTGCAAATTTTTACGTCAAAAATGATTGCTGCGACTTATTTACAGGGTAATTCATAACCTATAATATAAAATAAATTCTTAGTATAACGATTGTATTGATTCTGCGGACGATTCATCGATTTAAATCATATATCCAAACTGTTCGTAAAAATTGAAATCAAACTCGTTATGTTGTTTAGATAACCAAGAGTTTGTTGCATGGCAAGGAGCAAAGTTTGATAGACGGCACATGCAACAATCGTACATACGGAATGGTTTTTGTGGTCTTCCTGACTATCCTTTTCTGCCAAAGTATAAATCTGTATCTCATTGCTGAACTTGCTTCTGTTGCGTTTAAGAATTTTGATTGAACGCATGGTTTCTGAAGAATAAAATGTTCCTACTGACCTGTTGGTCAATATTATTTAGAAGTGGCTTTCTGATCAAACAGTGGAATCAACCCAACAAAACTTTGCTGTACCAAGTGAATATTCTCATTGTTACTAAATACAAACAGCTAAGTTACCAATTGTTCATACCTAAACAGCTTGTTTGATGCAGCGATAGGATTAGTTTAAAATCTGATTATGGACTTCTGTTTACATAGAACGGAAACAACTGAACAAATATTTAACAACCCTTCGTGTTTGTAGTGTCAGTTGGTTTAACCTAAAGTTTGTAGATCACATGTAGGTGTCCGCGTGCAACCTAAAACGACATTGCCCAATCAAACGTCAATAGTTTCCGCTGTCGTCACAGCATGTAGATAAAGTTTCTGATGTTTACCTGAAGAAATCGGTGCAGCATGGCGTGTCACAAATGAGCAGTTGGCATCAAATCGAATAACACACATCTGTGTCAGAATGTGACAGTGCAAGTTATAGAAACATCTACAGGATTCTGTTCGTTCGAAGGCTGAATTTGATTTGGCCATGTCATAGGTATGGTAAATGATCTCAGGAAATCAACATTATAATTCATCTGTGAGGGACGGATAAGACAGAAAGGCAGCCAATCAAAGCCCTCTGATTCTGGCCGAGGATGTCTTTATATGCATCTGTATTGGCAGAATCGAGCGACAAATCGAACTTTAGACCAAGAGTGAAAGATGTACCAATTATTTTTTGAATGATTACCATGCTATTGTTCAGAAAAACAGTAGATATTCCGGTCTTCCACCGAGTAATCTGAGTGACCTGTCGTTGTGCTATTAATCGTACACG